GACCAATCAGGTGCTACCTTAGGCAGGCCACATCATTACATAATTAAACAAATACGGCACAAACAAATGTAACACACCTTACATCATTAAATAAGTGCAGCACAAACAAATGTAGCACACCTTTACATGGTTAAATAATATTCCAGAACAGCCCTCCAACTCACCCTAGTATTTTTTTATAGCCTAGCAACATCTATTGTCCCATCTCTGAGACATTTCTTATTTCTATTCCATTCTTATTTGTCACTGAACCAATGCTTTTTACCAGAGCCATTCATCTTTTAGCCACAGTGTTATTAAATCACTGTACTAAAATGTTGCTAGTGTATCTGTTGCCCTAACCAGACTATAAATTCTCCAAGGGGAGCGATCAGAGAGCATCTGTTTCTGCAGCCCTGGAATTGACTACGTAGACAATTATTTGCCAAATAATGGATGCTCAATTAATGTTTGTTGAACTAGATAAAAACACTAAATTCAAGATCTTTCCAAGTTTCAGAGAGAGAGAGATGGTTCAGACTATATTATCAATGAACCAGAGTGGCACACTCTTCTCAGTCTCCAAGGGAACCTACTAATTTAGCCATTGTCATAATGGAGCCCTACTTAAATAGGTCTGAGTGCCAACAAGCTTGGCTGCATCTGTTCCTGAGCCCCCACCAGCAGTGCCATCCTCAAAGCATGGCGAGATGAGAATGAAAGTATTTTCTCTCAGAGTCTTAACTAGAGCTAGAAGTGATGCCATGGCTACAGAGATGTTCTAAGAACAGGAGTGTCATGTGACAAGCACCATCTGGGGAATGAAGTCATTCCAGCCATTTCTATAGCTGGTTCAGGAAAAAAGAAAAGTATTCAGAATTTTAGCTGACTGCATTTTCATCGAGTAATAGGTTTTCTTTTAAAATGTGGTCTTATTAAGTGATTAGGTCAAAATTCAAATGGACATACAATTCAAAGGCAACTACTCACCAATTTCTAGGATATCTATGAGAGAAAATATACCCCCTTCTTGGTCTGTTGTATTAGAACAGATATGTCTACTCCTTTATTATAACCCTTTGTAGTTAACTTTCACATTTCTTATCAAAACTATTTGAGAATAACATTCACACATGGAACATTAGCTTAAGATATACTTAGAAAAGAGAGAAAAACCTAAAGTAGCAAATTAGTCAGAGTGCCAAAAACAGATAACAGAGCTGCAGCTCCACTGCTAAGGCATTTGACACTCACATGTGTAGAGAAGGGCAGTGTGAACAAGAGGAGCTCTGTAGGTTCAGCTGAGCTACACCTGCTTGAGATTCAACTTGTGCCTGAGATAATTAAGGTGACAACCAGTAACACTTTTTCTTTGCTTAGCTGAGTAATTCCAATGCCTACTATCAGAGTCAGAATATTTCTGTTTATAATATGAACCTTTAACCATATTTCTGCTTCCCTTATCATGAAGGCCAGAACGAAGGGCAAGCTCTGTAAAGCAGCTCTAGTACTTCCAAGAGGGAGGCAGATCTTGTCAAGGCCAGCCTGGTCTCAATACTGACTGACAGGGCTACATAGTTAGACCATTTTAAAAAGAAAAACACCACCAAAGTATTTATGACTTTATATAGTTTGTTTTTAAACTAGAATCAGGAACACATCAATGGGCTTTCTCTATTAAAAAAAAAAAAGAAGAAGAAGACCTTTGCTATCACTAAATTATCTACACAGTAAAGATTTCCCCCCAGTTGTGCCACACAATACTTCACATGGCTTCATTTCACCAGAATTTCCAGTGCCAGTGTCCTCTCTTCTTCCTTCAAGTGCCACCGTCTTCCCAAGGCATGCACGCTGCACCGAGGGAACGCAGCCTCCCTGAAGCTTCAGCTTTGATCACAAACACCACCTCCTCTGCTTCGGTGACTGGTGTCAATCAGGTTCAGGTATTGATTCACAGAGATGCTCACATTCCTTTTCCAGTTCAAAGGGTAAGCCTTGGAGTGAACTAACTACAGTCAAATGTGGCGGCTTCCCGACCCAACCAATGAACACTTTCCCTACTTCGGCACTTGGGAGATGGAGGCAGGCAGATCTCTGTGAGTTTGATGCCAGCCTGGTCTACATTGCAAGTTCCAGACCAGCCAGGGGAACATAGTGAGATCCTGTCTTTACTAGAAAATATTCCAAGGTACCCAAGACCCAGAAAGACACACATTTCATGTTCTCTTACTTGGGATTCTAGCTCTGAATGTTCAGGATTGAGTACAGAAATTAAAGCAGACACACAAACCAGGAAAGTACAGAGGAACCATGGATGGGGGAGAAGTAACTCTGGAGACAGGGGGTCTTAGTTTTCTATTGCTGTGATAAAATATTATGGCCAGGCACTGGAGAGGTTTATTTTGAGCTTGAGGCTCCAAAGGGCTAGAGTTTATGAGAAGAGAGCAAAGGTATGACAGCAGACAGCTGAAGCAACAGCTCAGAGTCACACCTGGATCCAAAAGCAAGAGCAGAGAGCTGACTGGGAATGGCTTGAGTCCTCTGAAATCCTGAGCCCTGCCCTCACAGAAACACATCTTCCAACCCAGCCACACTTTCTAATCCTCCCACACAGTCCCACTAACTAGGGATCAAGTATTCAAGCATATGAACCTTGGGAGGCAAAACATCATAGGGGAGTTTGGCCTTTTAGAACTCACATTTTAACCATACAATGAGAAAACTATGCTATACATATTTTAAAAGAAAACCATGTCCCAAGTATTATCAGTGACTTCTGACAAAAATGAAAACATGAGTTTAAATGGTAACACTACACCAGAGGAAAAAAGCAGAAGATATTAAAACTATTTGAAAATTGTAAAAACTCTGCATAGTTACATAAATACATTCTAAGCTGTGAATTTAAATTGTAAATTTTAACTTTGTATTACATTATATATTTTTCTTAAAAATTAATTTTCAAATGTTAGACATTTACTTTTTAATTTTGAAGTCATTTCAAACTTACAGGAAAACTGCAAGATAAAATTGTACAAAAAATTCTATTTCCCCTTCACTCAAATTCCTTGTTAGCATTCTAGAATGTTTTGGCCCCCCTACTATTCCACATACATGCACACACACAATCAACTGATTCTTTTTCTTAACAATTTAAGAGCAAGCTAAAGATAGGATGGTCCCTACTCTTAAACATTACAGTTCTCCATTCCCTGAAAGCAAGAACTCGAGCAAATTTAAACACTAAGTTGCTAAATTAGAAAATGAATTTATACAACCACACTATCCAATTCATAACCATGTAAGCATTCTCAACTGTGCCAACAATTTCACTTGTTCCTGTGACCAAATGTCTATGCAGGAAGAAATGCTGCATTTAGTTACTGTCACTTTTTAGTCTCCTTCAAACCAGAGACTAAACAACAGTTTTGCAGTTGTCTTTCATGGCCTGAAGAGTTTTTAAAACATAGGTCTTTCTTCTGTAAAGTGCCCCTTGACCCAGGACTATAACTATACCTCTTCATATCCTCAACTCTCAACGGGACTCCTGACAAATGATGAACTCTTGCAAGCACAACACTTGAGAAGTACACAATGCCAATGTCAGTTTGTTCTGCCTGGTCACGTAGATGGTGACTATAAAGATATCACTTTCCTATTGTAGTCAACTAAGTATTTTGCAAGATATTCTGAGATGACATTAATGCCCAGTTACAGAAGTATACACACACACACACACACACACACACACACACACACACACACAAAACTTTATAATTATTAAGTCAACCATCAATCTGATGATGGCTTAATAGCGATTTTTCAGCTTATATATTTTTTTTCTGTATTTATAGGTAAATATTGTATAGTGACAAGGAGAGAGCTACTTGTCCTCCATATTCTAATTGTTTTAATCAGTGTGGACTTTATAGAGACCTATTTTATACAGCAGATTATCATCAATTACTATTTATTTTTAATGTTCAAACCAGAAAGCTCTTCCATGGTTTTGGTATGCTAACATCATTTGCTAAAAATCCCCTTGATCTCATCTTCTGTTTCTTGATCTAATCTTCAGCTCAGCCCTATTTCTCAGGAATTAGATCCTTTTAGTGAACATGGGATTTAGACATCCCGGCAGTTGGTGTGATCATGGGTTTTAGATCCTGTTAGACTACAGAGCTGAGAAATGTGTAAACACACACGCACGCACACAAGTTTTTGTTACATATCTACTTTTCACACATTGTGTAATGTTATCCTCCAGCCATGATACAGCCACTGCCATGTTGAAACCAGAGCAGCTCTGTTTACCAGCATGAGACATTCACAAGAATGCCCGTTGACATTCCCTCATGGAAGGGAGAGCAGGGTCACCAAGCAGTGTGTAAGCATCTCTCTCACTAGGCACATGCAAGGTGCTCACAAGGCCCTGCACTACACACACAGGCCCCACACCTGAGAACATAGTGGGGCCAACTATAAATTCTCCGGCTCCAGTAAGTAACCTCGAGTCAATTCTTTGATGCACCAAACTAGACTTGGTTGGAATCACTTCTTTAGTCTGCTGTTTATTCTCTGGTGCAAAAAGACCATGTCTTTTTGTTCATGTCTTCCTAGGAAAAGGTAACACTGATATATATGCAATGAAATAAAAGCATGATTCACAATCATCTCCATTTCCAATCTAGTACCTCAGGGTTCTTTCATGTCTTCCACTTTCTACGTTGATAACCCTTCTCAAAAAGTGAGACCTGTAACTCCCATTACAATCAATATATTCATCCTTTTGTTCTATTGTGTTTGATTATTTGCTCCATGTATCAAATCCCCTAGCTATACCCACACACGAGTGCTTGCTTCTCACAACTGCTTTCTTGCTTCTGGCAAGAAGAAAGAAAGGAAGACAAAGGAAGGAAAAAAGATGAGTAAAGAAAAATGAGAGGGGTATAGAAAAAGCGGGAAGATGGAAAGGAAAGTGAAGTGAAGAGGCTGGGAAGGGAAGAGAAACGGATACTCACTTTTAAAACACCTTCCACAGCCATCTTGCCTTCTTGTCCCAGTAAAATCGTGTACGGATACAGCCACTGGATTGCATGTTCAATTGACATCATAGGGAAGGAATTCTATTTAGGAACAGACATGTATAGAGGTCAGCAACATCTCAATCACAGAAAGTTTATCTGAAATATACATATACTGCTAAAGTTTACTTTCCCAAAAGCATAAAAAATATCTTCCAGCAATGTACAAAAGGCAGCAATTTCATCTTTTCCTATCTTATACCATATCCCTGTGCAATGCCACTCACTCCCATCTTTCATCTATATTGCTGCCCCCCGTGCATCTTTATCTAGTTCTTGCCTCTTTCTTGAGCTCTAGACCAAAGCCTTTAGTTATCTACCATATGACCCTATGGTATATGGGATCCAAAACATCTGCAAGAGAACACACCTCCCCATTCTAGTCACCAGGCTCTGCATTTCCAGCCTTTATTCCCAATCTAGTTCATCTTCTCTATATCCAGCAAGCCTCTCAATTATAACTACAAAGCTAAAAGGGGTTCATTAGCCTCAAATTCTTCACCCAAATCATATCATAATATGAAGTCTGTTCACACCATTCAAAGAGTTACCGCCAAGAGCAAACAGAAGATCTCCATATGGCCTATCTATTAAATTATTTTACTGAATTGCTGTCAACATGATATGGAGTGTGTTAAGAATGGTCTGGACATACAGGGTGCTCCAATTCTTGGAGGTCACACATTCAGAGAGTATTGCATTTACTTTCAAGTAGCTCAGAAAAAATTGTGGGTGGGGGGGTATATGCGTTAGCAGGGTTCATGTTAACAACAGGGACTTCTCATTAAACAGATAATGGGCACTTGTTTTGAAATTTTAAAAGTGACCCTTTTCAGAATAGGGAATTTTCAAAATAAAAATTACTGAGGAAAAATTAAGAGATACATCTAATTTGGTAAACAAGAAGTATTAAGGATAGACACACCAATGTAAACAATATGTAAAAAAGCTAGCTGTCTGACTAACTGCAAATAGAGGAAAGCAAGAAACATTTAAAAATAGGAGTCTTGTTACACACAATGCCTTCTCGGCAGGGTCTTGCTCAATGTTTCAACAGCCACCTCAAATTCATTGCCATGCATCCAAGATCTCTCTACTCTCTAAGCTGCTGCAAACTATCTTCATCTGACATAAAAATGATCAGTCCACACTCCACCTACTTCACAACCTCTGGTGGGCCACTCCTCCCTCACCATAAAATCCAGGCAGGATTACTCATCAACAAAATAATTCATGGTAGGGTTCTAACCTCTGTCTCTACCACAAACACTCAGTTCTAATGATACAACTTGTTCTCGTTCTGCAAACATTCCAGGCCCATCTGAGGCTGAACATTTTGTGTGTGCCCTCTGCCCTAAAGGCTTTCCCATCACTCCAGACAGGACACCACATGCTTTGGGGAAATAACTGCAAATGTATTCAGATCTGCTCATATGTTGTCTATGCATGGCCCAGCTTCCTTCCTTCTCACAGTTATTAAAAGTCTTGCTTACACAGATTCCTGGAGCCATCTCTTTTCACAAGTTGGGAGACCTGCCAGCACCTAAGAATTTGTGTTCTTTAGGATAACCACTAACCAAAGACTAGCTTGGTGCTGGGGTGGGAAAGTTCATCTCCCTTGCCTCAGGCTGGGTCAGTTCAGCATCTGTTTCCCAATAGTATACCTCTAATTTGATCAGCCTGAAGCTGCCTTTCCTCTATGGGACTTGCATTTCTACCTTTCCCTTCTTCAAAACTATAAGCTCTCCAGAGACTTAGCATGCCACTGTCTCTGTACAGTTTGTTCCACTATATACATCAATCTCAGGCCTTTTATAGAAGAAAATGACAAGACAACTCAAGTGACTAATCCCCAGTGATGAGCTTTACATTTGTCTTTGCCGCATCTGAGTATACGCATCTGCCATTACTTTATTTTATACTTGCCAGGATTTGAACTGCCGCTGGTAAACTATCTAAAGGAAAGTCTGGAAGCCCAAGTGTAGAGGATTCTTGGGAGCAGAGAGTTGTAGCAAAGGACAAAAGCTGAGAAACCCTAGAAGGGAACAGATTTTAAATTTTATTTCAATAATTTTAACATATAAAATGTATGTTAAGCATAAAATAGTTGGGCTGATTTCATTTATCTAAAGAAGATGAAATATACTATTAATTTTTAAAGAACAATGGTTTATATAATATTCCATTAAAACTCCAGAAGCTGATTAGTTATGTAGATGTTTTCACAATATATAAGATTTTCACAACCTGGTCCAAATCTATCATATGAGCTTCATCCTCACCTTTCTAAAGCTTTAACCTAAGGCCTCACTGTATAGCGTTCTGTTCCCTGAGAGGAGAGCACACACTCTTAAGTCTCATGCTCCTCTGTTTCAGTCCATAGAACCCTTACTCATCCTCTCCCTGTCTGGAGAGGCCTACTCACCCTTCTGGACTCATCCCAATGAGCAGGCCTTTGTAAAGCCTCTATGAAGACCCAACAAAAACTGGTAAACAAGTTCTTAGTTTAACAACAAATTTAAATTTTAAATTAAGTGTTTACTCATCCTATATTTATAAAGTATACTTACTTCTCAGCAGAAACATTGGCTCCAACTGAATATAATAGATTTAGTTGGTCCTAAATAACAGAAACATATACAACTGATTAATAATGAATGCAATGGATGAAACACAAATGTTTTGTAAATACAAACTAAACTTTTAATTAGGTAGCAATCATTTCACAATACATTCCATTTAATAAAAGCAAAGGCAGTCTTTAAAATAGTCAGGGGGTTCAAAATGAACACTGTGAACACCACAGGAAATCTGACTTTTCTTTTTTATATAATTTCATACACCTAAAAAATAAGAAAAAGATTCCTAGCAACATTTTGCTATGCCCATGCTCAGCCGTCATCAGTGAAGCTTCCTCCTGCAGCAGTTGGGAACTAACGCAGAGACCCATAACTAGACAGTCCTAAATGGGACGTCTCCAGCAAACCCCACCACTCAGGGCTCAGGAGCTATGTGGAGAAAGAGAGGGAAAGGTTGGAAGAGCCAGAGGGGATGGAGGACACTAAGGAAGCAAAGCCTTCTGAATCGATATGATAGGTGAACATATGAAAACAGCCAGACTGAGGCAGCATGTCTACAGGGACCACACAGATCTCAGCCAGATGGGTCAAAGAGCTGAGAGAAGTAGAGGGACATGAGCTCCCAGCTCTAACCCAGGAACTGTCTCTAATTGACAACTGCTCACAAAGGAAATCTTGGTTTCTCCACTGGAGTCTCACTGGGTATACAAACCACACTTACAGACAGGCCCAGCTCAAAACCAATTCACATGTCCAGCAATAGATGAACAACACAAAACAAACTCAATGGAATGTTTGTAGGCTTTGTGTCTAGGATTGCTTTGTTTGTTTTTAAATCTCACTAGTCTTTTGCTTGTATGTTGTGATTTCTAATTTTGTGTTTTTATAGGTTATGGGTTTTTATATGTATGTTTTTATAATTTTTATTTTTATTTGCCTGATTGTTTTCTAAAGAGGAAGAAACAAGTTGTGGAGTTAGAAGTGTGGGGAAGCTCTGGGAGTAGATGGGGGAGGGAAACAATGATCAGAATATATTGTATGTAAAAAACATTTTCAATGAAGAAAAGAAATCAGGGGGCTGGAGAGAAATTAGCAATCCAGAGCATTAGCTGCTATTCCAGAGAACCCGCATTCAACTCCCAGCACCAAGATGGCAGCTCACAACTGTCTATCCAGTTCCAGGGGACCAGATGCCCTCATCTAGCCTCCACAGTTACCAAGGATATGAGTGGTGCACAGACATACATGTAGGCAAAAATACACATAAAATAAAATACAAATATAAAAATGTTAACATTGATATAGAATTGAATTTTTTGTTATAGATAAAAACCATTCCAAGCACTATGTCCTTGACATACTTACCCTGAAGGGTAGAAAATAAATATCTCTGGCTTGAAATCGAGAACGGAGAGGGGGGTCTAATGGATTCCCAGGGTACTTGGGCACTGGCAAGCCCAAGGCAATCACTCGGAAATGTTCACTAACCCGGACAATCTTCCAAGCATCCAACTCCTCTTTAGTGTGATCCTAGGGAAGAAAGAGATGAGAATAAGTGATGCAGATTACAGCCACAAGAACAGGTGACACAGATACAAGAGCTGCCAGGACAAGGAACCAACCATACCCTGACTGCTGAGAGAAGTGTATTTAAGAACACTCTCAAAACTAAGCCAAGAGGAATGCAGCAAAATAAATCAGGATCCAGATGTCAGGGAAAATTCACAGCCTGTAGACCTGTGCTGAGCAGGAAATATAGCTCACACCCCCAGAACAAAAGATCCCAAGATAGACTGCCAAGCTCTAGTCCATGACATGGAAGGAGGGGGTCAGAGAGCAGAGACCTCAGGAAGGAGGGAGCCAGAGAGCAAAGACTACAGGAAGGAGGGGGCCAGAGAACAGAGACTACAGGAAGGAGGGGGCCAGAGAGCAGAGATCACAAAGCTAGACGTAGAAGAAAAGACTATCACCAGAGTAGAGATTCCCCATAGACCTTAAACAGACAATTATACTTACAGGTATATTTCTATTAAGGCATATAACTAATAATACCAGTTTTTAAAAGCTTACTTTTCTCATTTCATCTTCCAGAATTTCATATTTACCATCCCACAAATTTCTCATGTAATTAGTCACAATACAGATGACTGAACAAAATAGAAGTCAATGGAGTTGTCTACTACACCATGGTCCAAAGACAAACCTAGGAATAGCAACAGGTTAAGTGTTGGAGTTGTAGTAGATCCTAACTCAGCTATCTGTTACAAACTCTAGCTCAACTACCAAAAATATATGTGACTTTACCCCTGGAGCCTCAATTCTCTTACCTATAATGTGGAAATAATGTAATTGACATGACTGAGTGTCATAAAAACTAAATATGAGAACATATGTGAACATTCATGGCAGACACCTGGTAAATGTGCCTTCCGTCCCTATCTAACTCCATCAGTGGCTCGTCACGGCCACACACAAATCCTGGTGTCCTACAAAGTCTATAGAAATGTGCACATATACATTTTAAGGGGAAAGCCCACAGCTTTGAGTAGATCTTCTGAGGGTACAGCAATATGATAGTGCAGAAATGTTTAATATGGCATTCAACACCTTCTGTCATCAGTGTATCTGACTCTCCCAGTCTCAGTAACCTCACCTTCTACAACCCAGCCAACAACTGCAGCTCTGTAAAGACAGCATGCATCACCAATGCAGCTGCAGCTGCTGTGGAGGAGACTTCCATCAGCTGCTGTGGAGGAGACTTCCATTTGCATGGGGTGAGCACAAACATTCAAAGCTCAACATTACAACTTTGTAAAAACAGATCCTTTTCTGATCCCTGCTCATTAGGAACCCCTTTAGTGTCACTTGACTATATGATTTACAAGCTTCTATCATTCTATATTGTGCCTTTACTCCTAAAAAGATTGCTTCATGCTAAATCTAAGATCTGGAGGACTTACTCCCTCCAGTACATAATAGGAAAAAGTCTGTTGATTTTGTGAATTTTTAAAATAATTGAAATAAAAAATCATACATTAATAGAACAACCCCAAGACACTCTGCCACATACGCTAGAAAACAAGTGTTTGGATCCAGACTTGCCTGAGAGCCTCAAAACACAGAAAATCAGAATATGAAATTTACACAAACTAGTTATTTCTATAATAATAAAATTTTACTAGCATTATATTAATGAAATCAATGACAGAAATAAGAGAGATAGAGATAGAGATGAGAGAGAGAAAAGTATGTATGGTACATGCAATGTGAGTTTGAGGGTACATGTGTAACCTGTTTGACAAGAAATTAAGCTACTCTTAATAAGACACTATATCTGTCAATCGGACTATCAGATTGAAATAATGAACCCCAAAAGAAATAAGAATTCTACCAGTGATCTCACTCTAGGAGAAAGAAAGGGTCCCAGTCAGAGGGGGAAACTGTCTCTGTGGAAGAGATTTCACACAGTTCTAACAATTTCTCAGACCACTTTACAAGATGAGACTGAAGCCTAGGCAATGATCAACAATGGTGGGCGGGACCACACTTTGACCAGGACTGCTTAGAACAGAGGTTCTCAACCTTCCCAGGGCTGTGACCCTTTAATACAGTTCCTCATGCTGTGCTGATCCCTGACCATTAAAATTATTTTTGTTGCTATTTCATAACTATAATTTTGCTGCTGCTACAAAATGTAAAAGTATTCTGATGGGTATAGGCAAGCCCGGTGGAAGGGACATCGGAGCCCCCCCCCAAAAAAAAAGGGTGTTGTGACCAAAAGGATGAGGACCACTGATATAGATGAACCCATCCTTGGTCCTCTCTCACCTCAGGACCCCCGTGATGAAGGACTTGAGGGGTCTGCTGGATCTCTTTGTTACTCTTCCCAGTGCGGCCACATGAATAAACCTCCCTTTTCTACATCCACTGTTTAGTTTTGTTCTTTTGAATGGCTTAGTGAGGGTGAGTGGCCAGATCTGACTTGAGATACAAGTGGAGACCCCCCCCACCCCCGCCCCCAGTTTGATAATGTAGATCAGATCCAGAGAAGCATGCCTCATGTGCTAAAGTCCTTGCACCTCCCATGTCCCAAGTTCCTATCCAAAGCAATAATATATTCAATAACTCTGTACAGAAGTCTACTATGAGAATAAAGAATATACCAAGCTTTTGTTATGAAGTAATACATATGCATTAAAAGAAGTTCTGTGCTTTAGTAATATTTTTTCTAAATCCTTTACTAAAACTAAAAATCTCTAGTAGCAATTATTTTATAATTGGAAAGAGGGTTAGGGTTAGGGTAGAGGAAAGGGTTAGGGTAGGGTTAGGGTAGAGAAAAGTATTCTACACAATATCTACCTTTGCTTAAAGACAAACTATATAAAACTTTGACTTTATTTCACTGAACAAACTATAACATGAAGGTACAAATTTTTTCTTATTGATTAAATCCACAATTATCTTCTAGTTGTATTACAATTAGATCATTTTTAGATATATCTAGAAGAAAATGGCTATTGCACTAACTCAGCACCATCCAGGTACTGCCATAGATGATAAAGAACAGAGTGCTAAAATGTTGCAAGGTGGGTTACAGAGAAAGATTCCAAGTACAGGAATTAGGCAGAGCATCCATTCAATCAGAGACCCTCCAGCATCAACATCTATCATTCAGCAGTTAGTGTGTTCCAGGCCCATGTTAGCAGTTTCAGAGCAAGATCAAGAAGTATAAGGCATGGAGATGGAGACATGGCTCTGTGGGCAAAAGTACTTGCAGTGTGTGGGGACCTGAATTAATCTCCAGTACCCATGTAAAAACCAGACACATGGCATTAGCATCTGTTATCCAAAGGCTCCTTCTGGGAGATGAGAGGTGAAGACAAAAGAATTCTTGGAAGCTGTAGAGGCTACCAGTCTAACTCGTGAAGCTAATCTTTCTAAAGAACCTTTCTCAAACAACGTGGAAGGTGAAGACCAACATCCAAGGTTGACCTCTGACCTTCATACATACAATGTAGCATGTATGTGCCTGCATTCACACATGAATGCAGTATATGTTGCATACACAATAAGCAGTATATGTTGCAGCCTTTGATCAATAAAAGTGTGAGAAAGACTTCAGGTCCCAGAGTGTTGATGTAGAGGAAGTGCCTGCAAAGGCTGCAGCCGCTGCTGAGAGAGCCAGCGTACTGCACCTCATGCTCAATCAATGACCAAGGATGAAGCTTCATGTCAATTCTTGCCTCACTGCTAAAGCCTTCAAAGATCTCTCTTTGGCTAAGTTGTTAAGAGCTGGGGCAGGTTCTCCAGAAGATCCTGGTTCAATTCCCAGCATACATATGATGGCTCTTTGTATATGTTTGTGTCATTATCATTGATGACATTTACTACTCTTTCAACAAACAGTCAATGAACACTGACCACATGCCAAACATTCTTCAAAGGGTGCGGAAAACTCCATTTTAAAATTTGTACTCTAGTAGCCAGCAGACAGTAAAACAAAAACATAAGTAAGCCACAGAGTGCTGCAGGGAAAACTCAAGTTTCAGGAGCATGCGGATAGAATGCAAGTTAAGTAAGAGCATCAAGTTTCACTTCATTGACAATGTAACATTTACTCAAGACTTGAACGGGTTGTAGGAGTGAGGCAAGCAAATGCTTGGTGGGGGGGACCTCTCCAGGAACAAGAAACACCCATGTAGTGTCTAGACTGTGGAAGAAGCCTTCCAAACAGTAGTTGCTGGAGGACAGTACGAGAGGAAGCAGCTAGACAGACCCACACCTTTAATCCCAGCACTAGGGAGGTGGAGACGGGAGTGATGTGGCTGGGAGGAGACAGGAGCTCAGAGCAGTCTGACACAGTCAGCCTGAGGGTGCAGTCTGAGGACAGGATCTCCCCTTTGGTGTAAGCATTGTTAGAGGTAAGAAATCTAGTGGCTGGCCATTTGGCTTCTCTGCTTCAGCTTTCATGCTCAGAAAGCCGACTGTGAGCTTTTATTATTAAGACCAAAGAGAATCTGTGCTGCTCTATCATGTTGAGGATAAAGTGGAGAGCAGGGATGGGAGCAGAGTCAATTTCAGTGGCAGGCAGAAAACGCTGGTGGCTTGGAGCGTCATTTATTATTTTATATATACTTATCTTTAATTTTATTTTATATGTGTGAGTGTTTGCCTGCATGAATGTCTAGGCAACGTATGTGCAACTGGAGGCCAGAAGAGAGACTCATATCTCCTGGGACTGGAGTTGGAGACAGTTGTGAGCTGTCACATGTATGTTGGGAATTGAACCCCAGAGTCTTTTAGACATCCAATTCATATCTGTCAGTCCCTACTGAATTGCATTTCCTGAGTTTTAGAACTGGACTTTGAGGCTGGAGAGACAGCTCAGTGGTTGGGAGCACTGGCTGCTCTTCCAGAGATCCTGAGTTCAATTCCCAGCAACCACATAGTGACTCATAACCATCTGTAATGAGATCTGGTGCCCTTTTCTGGCCTGCAGGCATGCATGCAGGCAGGACACTGTATACATACTTAATGAGTAGATCTAAAAACAAAACTGGACTTTATTTAGCTTTTTATCCCAGATGCTAGGCACTGTCTAAAAGAAAGAAGTAACAAAGGAGAAAAATGGGGAAGAGAAGAATAGCTATTAAGCTGGTCAAAGAAAAAGGAAAACACTAGTATAAATTAGGAAGGTCTTTGCAGCCTTTTGATGGACCAGCCTTTTGAATTTGTAAACTTGGGATTTACTTTAGCAGTTTGCCAAAGAGAAGGACCACCTGAACATGTCCTAATTCCTCCGTAGCGTTTCACATGGCACTCTGGAAGCAGAGGCCAGCAGCTGGCTTGCTTTCTTACTTGGAGAAGCTTGTCGTAGCGTTCGGCAGACATCAGGAAGCGCCCATCTTCAAGCTGCATCTCCCGGTTCTCCAGCAAGTTGTTCAATACTGGAAGCACGTTTCTCTCTGCTTTCTCCAAGCCTTCCAAAACCAGTGTCCTGCCTTCTGTGGCAGCTCGAACAGCACACTATTTCCAAGAAATACAAAGGCAAAATGAGAACTCCGAGGGCAGCAGAGCGTGACCTAATTGTACTTGCACCGGCACTAACCGTGTTTCTTGTTAGGGAGACTGGGAATCAGGACAGGTGGATTCAATCTTGTTTTCTCTGCCTATCTGATCTTGGGCAAATGATATTTACCTCTTTGTGCCTGTTTATTCATCTGTTAAATGAAGAATCAGAAATGATCTCTAGGGTTTTTTTCTTTACAACATTACATTTTAGATTACATAGCCAATGAAATAGACAACTAACAGTTATCTATGAATGGGTAATATAATTAAACAAGGAAATAGGTTCCCTAATTAGAGAAGAGAAACAAAGGCAACTGTTTGGCTTCTCTATTCCGTAAGTGTCTTGTGAGGCTCAAAATCTAGGTAGGGAAGCTTGAAGACCATGATGTTTGCAAATGAGCCATTAAAACAAATTCTGTTTTCGGGTGATGGCCAATGCTGACAACATTACACTTTGGTTGACTGGATTGATGAATACTGTATCCCCATGGATTTAGGAAAATTCATAATGGAGGGAAATAGAGAGTAAATGATAATTGGACCAGAAAAGGGTAAAGCCTCTCCTTCAACTGACAGGTCCTGAACACGAACGTTTACATCAAAATCCTTGAAAGTCGACTTTAAAGTAAAATCTAATTCACATTTCTTTGCATGCAACATAAGCATTAATGCTGCTAACTATATATTGCCACTCCTTAAATTCACCTTTGGCTTCGAATAACTCTCTGCTCTGTTTTTTTGTTAAACGTGGGTCCAGAATTACACTCACATTCCATGGCTTTTTCTCTACAGCTGCTTGCATTACTTCCAAGGAATCTCCGTCTCACAATCCAGCCACCTTTCCTACGCTAATGGCTTTCCAATCCCAAGCTCTCCCAAGCTTCAGATCCACATGGTTGTACTGCATGGATGTCTGCAACCAGACCCCATGGCACCCCCTATGCCCCTGTACAACACTAAGCCCATCCCCCCCCCCCCAGTCTGCTTCATTTCTGTCCTAGTTTGCCTTTCATGCTGTGATAAACACCATGACCAAAAGCAACTGAGAAAGAAAGTCTTTCAACTCCCAGGTAACCATCTATTACTGAGGAAATTCAAGAAAGACAATCAAGGCAGGGACTCGAAGCAATAACCACACAGAACGCTGCTTACTGATTTGCTCTCCATAGCTTGTTTAGGGATTTTCTTTTACAACTCAAACAACCTGCCCAGGGTGGCAACACCTGCAGTGGACTGGACCCTCCCACCTCAATTATTAACCAAGAAAATGTCCACAGACTTGACAATCTGATGAAAGCAATTCAAGTTCCCTCTTCCCAAATGACTTTAGAAATGGAGTAATCAAGTTTTTTGTTGTGTCAAAAAACAAAACAAAAACCTACCCAGCATATCTTAATAAAATGGGAATACCATTCATCTATGATAGGATCCAAAAGTTGTATCATCTCCCAGATTCAATTTATCTCCATATTCTGATAATCCAATATCCTTAATTGAACTTGAACTTATCCAGCATGGTGACTAGCCTGACATCCCAGGACACAGGAGACTAAGGTAAGAGGAAGACAAGTGAAGGCCAGCATGGTCTACCCTTGTCAAAATAAATAAATAAACAAGAGATCAAAATATTTCTCAACTCACCCCTTTCTATCCCTCCCCTAGTTCAGCCCATCTTTATCCCTCAGATATCTTCTCTGAGAGTCCGAGCTGCTCAGTTCCCTATGGAAGCCTATTAAAATACAGCATTTGCAACATCTCCTGCTATCAGTTGCTTCGTGTATAGTCCTTTAGTGACAGTGAACTTGTGTAATTTCCCCCTGTACACAAGCTACTAGAAAATCACTATCTTTACTTACAATGACCTTTTTTTTCCTTAAATTTAATTTTCCTTTTAGTGACTAACTCAAAAAAGAGCTAACCACTCCCTACCACCCCCCACCCCCACTACCCTGGCCCCATCCAATAGCCAGAGAAATTTCTGAAGTACCACATTATTCATTTTCCAAATATCAAAGAGAAAGCAGGAATTTCTTAGTCAGGATTTTTTTTCAGTAAATTGTTGAACTTTGTACTGTATAACAAAGGGTTACTTTCTTCAGGTATCTATGAACGATTATAAGGAAATAAGATTAGGATCTAATAATAGACTAAAGATAATTATCCCCATTATAAGACAAAGATCAGTTCATGAATAATCCTTCAAAACAATTACTGCTAATATTTTTATTTTCTTCTATGATACTGACCATCATCTTGTATTTATTTATTTCTTGTTATTGAATGAATCAAGGTGACTTCAGTGCCCCTGAGTCAGAATGGGGTAACCATAGTTTCTGAGCTATCAAAACTCAAACAACAAACTGGCACAGGAGGACTTGGGATGCTTTCTTATAAAAAAAACACATTTCAGGTGAGGTGCCAATTAACCTTTCACAAGAAACTTACCTTCTCAAGAACTCATAGCTCACAATAAAAAGAAAAAGTGTCACTACTGGTAGCAAAATCCTTTTTAAGTTAAAGTTTTATTAACTTTTATTATGGGACAAACTATTTGACTTTTGAAAGCTTCACAGAGATAAAAATGCTGGTTCACTGAGAAAAATGAGAAATACACACATCAAGATTTCATAATTCACAAGCTATAGGCAAGAAGAGCAACATTTCACAACATGAACTGGGAATATGCAGCTCTGCCTTCCTTCACCTCCCAGGTACTGTGGCCCACTACACATGAGATCCAGAGACCAGAAGCAGATGCCAAACACACAGGGATTCTTTCGTTGCTCTAATGGACATGTTTCAATGAGAAACTAAGAAAGTGATAGATGAAAAAAAAAAGACTACCCTAGTGATCCTGTGAAAAACCTCACCTACGCTGCACCCCTCCTCCAGAGCAATTGTCACACAGTAGGGACCTCAAGGTAAGAACCCTGCTACTGGCTGGAGACACGGCTCAGCAGTTAAGAGCACTGGCTACTCTTCCAAAGGACCCAGGTTTCATTCCCAGCATCACATGGCAGCTCACAGCCATCTGTAACTCCAGTTCCAGAGCTTCTAACACCTTCACCAGACATAATCCAGGCAAAACACTAATGCACATAAAATAAAAATAAATTTTAAAAAAGCCTGCTACTAAAGAATAGAGAAATTCGACATTTGGAAGTCATCACCATTGTGGCAGGCAAGACTCAATAGATGGTAAAGTTGTGAGGAGAAACTAGCTGTCTGTATACACTCAAATATCTTCCCACAAGACATCATAAATGACAAAAACACCAACAAAAAACACAAACATAACACTGTATAGTAGGCTTTCTTTTGGGCCACCAACCTGCTCCCAAATCATGACACAGAGACTTATTATAATTTAACCTGTTTCTACATTTTGCCTCGAGACATTTTACCTTTTTTTCATTCTGTATGTCCTACTTTTCCTACTTCTTCCAAGTTTGGCTGGCTGGTGGCTGCTGGCATCTCCCTCTCAAACCTAGATTTTTTCTCCTATTAATCCTCTCTGCACACCAGCCCTGCCTAACCTTTCTCTGCCTAGCTATTGGCTATTCAGCTTTTTATTAGACCAATCAGTTGTCCTTAGGCAGACAAAGTAAAACAGCAACACATCTTTACATAATAAAACAAATGCAGCATAAACAAAAGTAACACATCTTTACATAGTTAACGTGATAGTCCACAACATAAACAAATGTAACACACCTTCATATAGTTAAAGTAATATTCTACAACAGAAACAAATGTAACACACCTTTACACAGTTAAAGTAATATTTCACAACAACACTGAGAGACTGCAAGAGTGCACTCTAACCATGTGGTCAAAACCAATGTTGCCAATACTGAGCTCCACTGGTTTCACACAGTAGGATTTCTCATGCAATGCTAGGGTAGACACATCATCACTTCTGCACATTCTTAACAAGAACTGAATCATTTCCAACATGAGAAAACGGCAGGCAAATCAAAACTGAGCAACATTCTTCCAAATTACTGGCCATGAAGAGAAGGACAAATCCTGCTGCAGGAACCCGGGTTGGGCATTGTGTGGCAGCCATTTGCTGAATGACTCAAAATGTGGGTGTATTGAAATGAGGAGGAAGAAATTATGAATAAATACAGAAAAGAGTAATTAATTACTGCACTAAAACTTAGGGAGATTTTACTTGGTGTTGGAGCAAGCCCTGTGTAAAGTCTCTAGGAAGTCCATAGCTCAACTAAGAATTGTTTTTACCCTTGTCCCTCATCTAAGAATTTAAAAAACAGTAAATCTCTCTGACTGCTTCTAATTTGACATGCTATTTATTAATTTTATGTACTATGTGGAAATAAATTAGCTGTTTCACATCACAGTTGAATCCAAGTGTGAGGATATAAAAAACAGAATTACTGAGGACTTTCTGTTGCTGTGACCAACACCAGGAGGAAAGTCCACTTGGGGAGGAAAGGGGTTTATTTGGCTCACAGTCTACAGTCCAACCTCAGCAGCCCTGTCAGGTACTTGAAGCAGGCATGGAGAGACAGGAACTGGGGCAGAAACCATAGAGGAATGCTGCCTGCTGGCTTGCTCTTCCCACCTTGCTTAGCTACCTTCCTTTCTTATTATCTTACATCCTCTCCCTCCTCCCCTCCCCTCCCCTCCCCTCCCCGCACCTCCCCTGTGTACACACACACCTAAATTCACTCCTCTGTTTCTGTTCAGAAAGGGGCAGGCCTCCCATGGATGTCAACAAAGCATGGTATATCAAGCTGAGGTTGGACTAAACTCTTTCCCTCACATTAAGGCTTGGTAAGGCAACCCCACTATGAGGAATAGGTTCCCCAAAGCCTGCCAAAACATCAGGGACAGGCCCTGCTCGCACTGCTAAGAGTCTCACAAGCAGAACAAGCTATGCAACAGTCACACATATGGAGAGCACCTAGGTCGGGCCCATGAGGACTCTT